AAACAAACTGAGGGTTCTAGAGGGGAGGGGGGTGGGGGGGTAGGTTAGCCTGGTGATGGGTATTAAGGAGGGCATGTACTGCATGAAGCACTGGGTGTTATACAAAAACAATGGATCGTGGATCACCACATCAAAAACTAATGATGTATTGTATGGTGACTAACATAGTAAAATTAAAAATATATATATACCTGTGTATCTTAATGAATACTAACAATTTAAAATTTATCATAAATCTAGAAATAATTTTGAAGTGCCAACAAACACACTTATATTTTAAAATCTAGACAAAAAATCATTAAAATACAGGAAATGTGTTTGACTCCAAAGCTAAATACATATTTTCAACTAATGAATGCTCATGCTTATACTATTAAAAACACATCTATTAATCTCAATGGTAACATGACAATTCTGACTTTGATATGTTTAATCGAAGGTCTAAAGTTTACTTTTCTATTTTCTTTTTACCTTTTTGGAGTATTCAAGATATTTAAATCAACTGACAAAGTAAAACAAGATTCCAAAGCTTGGTAAAAAGCCGAAAAACAAAACTTGTAAAACATGGAGCGGTAGAGACAATATTCCTAATGTAAAACCACTTAAAACAGTAAGGAAGCTTCAATAAGGATGGGTAACAGCATTAGATATGCTCTTAGTTTCTAATGTGAAAGGTGGCAGTGTTGGTGGAGAGGAAATATCAGGATGATTTACTAAGGACAGGAAAGAGGCCAATTGTGTGCTTTAGTTTTTGCAATTAAAGCAAAAAATTGGCTATAATTTGATGCAGTGGTCTATGTAGGAAAACGATAATAGCTTTTTCACTGTAAAAAGCGGCAGAGAATAGTGGAAAAGGCCTGGGATCAGAATCAGAGGTCAGTGGTTCTCAGACTTAATAGCTGTATGACTGGACAACTGACTCCATTTACCTTAAGGCCACTTTGCTCGGGTTTTTTTGTTTAAGGCTGTATTTTTCAGTAATCTCTACACCTAACAAAGGGCTCGAACTCACAACCCTGCAATCAAGTCACATACTCTATCTACTGAGCCAGCCAGGTCCCCCAAGGTCTAGTTTTCTCATCTATAAAAATGCTGCAGGGGTGCCTGGGTGGCTTAGTCAGTTAAGTGTCCGACTCTTGCTTTCAGCTCAGGTCACGATCTCAGGATCATGGGATTGACCCCCCCCCCAGTCAGGCTCCATGCTGGGCATGAAACCTGTAGACTGCCTCTCTTCATAGACAGTACA